ATTATCTACATATAATTTAAAATTTAGAGGGTTATTCATGTATCAATCAAAATTTGAGAGCTTAAATCCACACAAAATAAAGTTTAAGAGGGTATATAATTAATGGCTATATATTATTTGCATAAACTTGGTAGCTTACAGAGGTTTATTATTAAATTTTAAAGGTTAAGAATGTTATTTGTACATGGTTCAAAATTTAAGAAAATTATGTGTAATTTAGCCTGAATTGATTATCTAAATATACTTTAAATAGTCCAACATTTAAAAATAAAGATACTCTCCTACTTGGTGGTGCTTGCCAAAAAATATTTTTTTCAAAAACAATTAAAATTTTAAAATTTTAAATCTTAAGCGTTTAGAATAAATTTGAGTAGTCAATTTTTTAAAATTATAAAAAAATTTAAGTATTAAATTTGGATCACTCAAATTAAATTTAGACTATCTAAAATGATTATAAAGTATATTATTTAAAAAAATTATAATTTTTTCTTTAATGTAAATAAATTAAAGCTTAAATCAATTTAGATGATCTAGACATTATTAAAAAGGTGATGAGCACTGAGAAAAGCCATAAAAACTTATGTTTTATCTATTATTTCTCATACCAACACCAACTCTTGAATAAGTGATGCTTTCTCCTGTCTTAAGCATGTGATTTATTTATTTATTTATTTGTTTGTTTGCTTGGGCTAACCTAAGGATATGAGTTATTAGTTGAGGGTTTGTTTTGAGTTTAAAGGTAATATTTCATATTAAACTCCTTTGTCTCCCATTTTTGTTTATTTTCCCCCATTTATAAGTTACTTGGAATTATTTTGTTAAAATCAAGAAAAAACTTTGAAACTTATCTCCATCTAAAATTTTTATAAATTCTTAACTTTACATTTATTAAATATAGGTATTTTAATAATATAATTTATCTCACCAACATTTAATAGAGGGTAAAAAATTATGATAAAAATTTAATATATGACTTATTAATAAAACAAAAAATATTTTCTCTCCACTTTATAAATAGAAAAGGATGGAGTATTTCTTATAAATAACTAACTTATATAATTTTGTATTATGTGCATGTGAATTAGTTAATTAATTGCTCCCTCGGTCTCTACATATAGAGCATTTTTCTATAATTTTATTTTGTCCATAAACATATGGGGTTATATTATTTTTAAATAATTAATAGTTTTGCCTTTGTCTTGAAAAAAGGTAAAAGATATTAATTGTGTGCTTTACACACTGCTATCATGATATTAATTATAATATTGTTTGAGATAAAATTTAAAAAATTATTGTAATTTTATATGGTTTTAACTAAATAATAACTTTTATCAATATGCAAGATTGGGTTAAAAGAACATTTCATATCAGCGGTAGAACTAGCCGTGATATTAAGGGAGGCCAATTTTTATTTAAAAAAATATACTACTTGCATTAAAAAATATAAGACATATTTTTTTATACTGTATTCAAAAAAAATATAAAACATATTTATCTGAATCATACCTTCAAATAAATAAACAAATAATTTTTAAATTGATATCGTCTTTTAATACTTGTTCTTATTTAATATAGTGTCTTTCTTGTAGCTAAATGATTTATTTATTAAAGATATTTTTAGAAAAAAACCAATTAATTATATAATAAAAATTAAAAATATCTTATATTTTTTAATATCTAACCTAAAAAAGTTTTTTATATTTTTAAATGAAAGGAGCATACATGTATAAATTGTTAATAAAGAATAAAAGAGAAAATTTATGATAAAAATTTTTATGACATAATTTATAAATAGGACAAAAACTATTTACTCTCTATGTTATAAGTAGAATAGGAAGAAATATTATATAACTGCATCTAAGGTATATTATGCTTCTTTTATTTTTTCTGAAACTTTTATGGGATTAAATATTTGGACACTCATACAAACATAAGGACAGAGGCGTTTAGAATTAGGACTGAAGGGAGTATCAAGGATTTGGTACACTTTGCCTTAATCTTATACACTTCATAGATAAGGACAGAGGGAGTGGCTTCTACGTTTAGAACTGAAGGGTGTATCAAGGATTTGGTGCACTTGCCTTAATCTTAATCTTATGCACTTCATAGATAAGGACAGATCAGAGGGAGTTGCTTCTCCGTTCTTAGGACTGAAGGGAGTATTGATACACTTGTCTTAATCTTATATTTATATTTAAACACCCGAAAAAAAAACTCAAACACACAATTTAAATTTATTCATGTAAGTTAAGAAAAATTATATCATGGATTTATTTGTTAAAAAACATGTAAGCATTGATTCTCTTCTATCATTAATATAAGGTAAAGTTAACAAAAACACTCCTTATTAAAAAAAATAGTTATAAGTTTAAAATTATATAGTATATAACTTTTCATTTTTACTTTTTTTAATTAATAACTATAATAAATTATTATTTAGGAATTTAAATAATGATAGATAGATCAAGGAAACAATTTGAAAAGGAAAAGCATTAATTATTCTATATTTGTCTTATATTCAGGACATAAAAAAAGTTTTCAAACTATATTTTATATCAAGGATTGGATGAAGTATTTCAATTGTACTCATGTTCATCTTTGTTATTTAATTTGTGAAAAAGATAATAAACGTGTCACGAGACTATTATTAAAAATTCTAGATGTAAAAAAAGACAAAAGAAAAACGTGCATTTGATGGAGATCGAGAACATCTTAACCAACAATGACTATGAGACGTTCCTCTGGGCCATCCTCAGATCATCCGATCTTCCATGAAAAGGATTTGAAATAGACCACACGATATTAATCGGAGTGAGTGAAAATGAGAGACGTGTCTGCATAGCCACAACACCCTGATCACGGGTTCACGGTCTTTGAATTCGACCTTTCATATGTACTAACTCAACTTATCCTCCATTATATATATATATATATATATATGCATATGCATGCCACAGAGCCTGCAGTTGAAGATTGTCTGGCATTGAAGCAGGCTCTAAAGCTCCACCATGGGAAGTGCCTCCATGTTAGCCTCAGTTGCCATGAGAAGGTAAGCAGTAAATTACAACTTTACCCATCTGTGTTGGCATATTATCAATGATTATAATTCAAGGAAAAGAAAAATGTTCAACTTCCCCTAGTGTTCAAATATGTTCATTGTTTAATGCTTTATAGTTTATATGTATCATTCGTTTGAAGTTTTAACAAGTACTTCAAAGTCAAATCTTTCACTTTCAGGCTTGAAGGTAAGGTGGCTCTGATCACCGGTGGTGCAAGTGGTATCGGCGAGTGTACTGCGAGGCTCTTCTCCCAGCACGGAGCTAAAGTGGTGATCGCCGATATCCAAGATGACCTGGGTCTCTCCGTTTCCAAAAGCATCACAGATTCTTCTTCTTCCTCTTCTGCTTCCTACGTCCACTGCGACGTGACAAAGGAAAAGGACATAGAAAACGCAGTGGACACAGCGGTTTCAAAGTACGGCAAGCTCGACATCATGTTCAACAACGCTGGTGTTGTCGGTGTCAACAAAACCAGCATAATCGAAAACAAAAAATCTGAATTCGAGGAAGTCATTAACGTCAATCTCATTGGTGTGTTTCTGGGGACCAAGCACGCTGCCAGGGTGATGGTCCCTGCACGACGTGGCAGCATCATATCAACGGCGAGCGTGTGTGGCTGCACCGGCGGGGTGGCGTCACATGCTTATACGAGCTCGAAGCATGCAGTCGTGGGGCTGACGAAGAATACCGCCGTGGAGCTCGGACGCTATGGGATTCGGGTGAACTGTGTGTCGCCATACGTGGTGGCGACGCCGTTGGCTAAGGATTTCTTCAGGCTTGATGATGAGGGAGTCCACGGGATTTATTCCAACCTCAAAGGTGCAAAGCTTGAACCCGAGGATGTGGCTAACGCGGCACTTTACTTGGCGAGTGACCAGTCTAAGTATGTGAGTGGCCACAATCTTGTGGTGGATGGAGGATTCACTATTACAAACTCTGGTTTCACTGTTTTTGGGTAGTTCATGTGCAAGAAGGCCACGACTAGAGAATCAATAATTCACTTCTAGAACGATCTGGGTTAAATCCGTGGTGGTTTGGTAAACTGGCGTGAAGATCTTCTGTCTTTCTTTGGAGTTTGAATAATCACGTGCGCTTATAAATAATAGTGTACGATTTCATCAGTTTCACTGTTTGCTATTGGTTGTGCTGTAATGAAACGATTGATGATTATCAACCACTTGTTCAAAAACTGTACAGTTGCCCGTTTGAATAGCACTTTTTAGAACCTCAAATGTGTTTCTGCCTCAATACAGGCCATACATCTTTTAACAGTAATGAAATGATTGAAAACATAACAGGGGATATTCCTGATGAATATATGTACAGGGGGAATGCACATGAATATATTTGCTCTGGTCAGTACATCTGCAACTTGAAATTTGGCAACCTGCCACAACTTACCAAAAATAAAATTCCAGAAGGATGAAGAAATGAGAGATTCATTATACGCCTAATTAATTAAGTTTCCAGTATGCCTGTAATGTTTTGTGCAAACATTTAAGTAAGATTTCAATGGAGCCACTAATTAATGAGGGCACATTAGGCTTATTTGAATCAAGCTCAATTCAAGTCGAGTTTATTCAGATCAAACTTAAAAGTATCTTACAGTATAAAAAAACCCATACATCCAAATTTGACCTTAATCACTTGGACTTTTGGGCTCAAATACTCAAATTGTTAAATATTTTTTATATCTAATTTCAATTTTTATTTTTAAAAACAATATTTTTAATTTTTATATTATTTTATTAATAATAAAAAAGAATTCGAATATCCAAGCTAAATCCATTTGAATTTGAGTTTGGTCTGGATTTCTTCATATATTTATTCAGGTGATTCAAATAAGTCCAGAATAAAGAAAATATTTTAAACTCTCAAGCCCTACTCTAAGATTTTTTAAATTTATTCAAACTCGCTTGAATTACCGTCATTGGATTTCAAACATGATCACAAACAACTGAAGGGCAATTTCGGGATTCCCTCTTACGAGTAGTGTTTGTCCCCCCCTCCCCAACAACCAGCAGGAAATGGGTGATGTTTGTTTGGTTGTGCAAAAATGACACGCTCCAGCTTTGATTAGTTATTAGGAAAAGCAATGTTTGTGTGGTGAAGATTGTAATTAAGCAACTTTCAGGTTCAGAAATTGAAAGTTCAAGTCCAATCATGTGTCTTTTTCCAGTTTTCAGAATAAACAATTGTAAATCTGTAATCTGTATCAGAATGAATTGCGGATCACTTCAGAGAATACTTTCTGAATTATTTTGACTGATAGAAAATCAAGAGAAAGACTCTTAAACAATCCTTGGGAGCTTTTTTCTTAAACTTTTTAAGAGCTTCTTATTTTTAAAGATTATCTTATTTCAAACATTTTTCTGTTTTGTTTATAAAATATAATTATTTTATATATTTCAATTTCAGAAAATATTTTTAAATATATATACGAAGTAGACATTGAATAAAAGAATTTTCAATTGTCTTCTAAGTTTCTTCTGTGATTATTGCAGTACGTCAAGGCATTAGCATATATACCGAGTCTTTCTTCATTTCTTCCACAGAAATTTTATTGCGTGTTTTGTTAACCTTTTGCTTATTTAAAAAAAAAAAAAAAGATAAACATCATTGTATATATAAAATTACCTAGTCTGTTGTGAAACCGTAAACATCTTTTTTACAGTATCAAATTATCACAGTAATGAGTAAAAACATAATAACATAGAGAATAAATAGAAAAAGAAAATGAGCATTGTAAGATGAATGTGAAGGGTGAATATACATGAACTGATATTAGCTTCCTTCACATTCCCCTGCAAGTCAAGTCTGAGATTTTTTCTAAGCTCAAGAAATTTGATGCTTAATATGGCTCAAGTCAGTCCATCAGCAACCTGACTTGAAAAAGCAAAATGCTTACCAATTTCCTCGTCGATTGCCCGTTCTATGACAAAGGGCAGATGATGAACATGTTTTCATGAATATGTAAAATAGGATTTGTGGTCTGTCATTATTCAAGTACTTTAGGCAATCAAATCTTGAACTCTTAAAGCAATGACCACATGGATGGCTACAGAATAAGAATGTGTAGCGGGCAAATGAATACAATGGGCATAGCCATCTGCTGGAAAATGAGAGATTGAAGTCAGGTTGCTGAAATAGTCAGAGTGCAGTGCAAAGTTACATGAAAAGACTGAATTGGAATCCTAAACAGAATCGGACTTGACACAATATTGCATGTCACTGCTAGATGAGTGAATTGAATTACATTTTTTCTTCATTAGTTTGTCAGCATGCCCCTTGTATAAACAAGAAAGACTTTTGATCAAGTTCTTAAAACGAATTTCCTTTTTCTGTTTATATATATATATATATATATGAGCATTCTTTTACTCCAATCACAGTTCATAAGTCGCAGACACTCTAACCACATTCTAGAAATACAATGGATGGATTTTCTGTTTTGAGATTTTGCGGCTTGCCAATCTACTGTCTTTATGTGACTGTAATAACACAGCACAGTGCAAAAGCTAATCATACACTTCCAAAGCAGCTTCGTGTGCTGTGAAATAACTAATTACATTGCTAATTATCAGATATTGAAATTATTTCCATTTTTTCACACAGCAAACACTAGTCCCCTGACAGATCTCCAGCGAAGGAAACCAGGCCCAAAGTAGATGACTTCAGGGAAAATTCTCCTGCAGAAAGGTCTAAAATCAGATTAAGGCCAATAAATATGAAAGCAATGGTTAAAAGCAAGAATGGGGGAGATCAATAAGTATTACCACTAGTTAGCTTCCAAGTCACCTCCGGGATTTTGCTACATTCAGCGCTGCCTTGACATAAATCCAGTCAGCCACATTGCCCAAGAACTTGAAGTAGGCATGTCTCCAAGAACGATTGAAATATATTGAGCCAAAGATACCCCAGAATCCTATTATAAATCCAAGTGATATACTCAAATAAAAGCCTTTGGATATAAATGAATCCTCATCTTCTTGGACCTCAACTGGTTCTTGAGGTGTTTTCTCCTCATAACACGATTTATAAAGTGGTTTTCCACAAAGATCAAGATTTTCTTCATAGCTTGAGCCATTAAAACTTTGCAACTGTGTGCCAGTTGGGATTTTCCCAGATAGTTGGTTATGTGATAAATCCAACATGGTTAGACGGTCAATAAGAGCAAGACTAGAAGGGATTGATCCAGATAGATTGTTTCTTGACAAGTCAAGAAATTCTAATGACATTAACCTACCAATCCCAAAGGGAACTCTTCCAGACAAGCTGTTTCTTGATAGGTTTAAAGAAATCAACTCAACTAAATCCACTATTTCTTCTGGAATTACTCCCTTTATTTGGTTGCTTGAAAGATCAATGCTTTTCAACAACTTGCTATGCTTAAACATTTGTGGTGCACCTTTCCACATGAGCAATGCATTTATATCATATTGATAGAAGGGTGTTGATCCGTTACTGGACATGGAAGGACTCATTAGATTTGTTGAACTCTCCTGGATCATTGAAGTAAAATTCTTCAAGCATTTGAATATTTGCCCGGATAGATTGTTCAGAGAGAGATCTAAGAGCTGAAGGCTTGTTAAATAACAAAGATGCAATGGTAAGCTTCCTGAAAAGCGATTATTTCGCAAACTTAACATCTGTAACTGTTGTAATTCATCTCCAAGCCATGAAGGTATAGGTCCTGACAATCTGTTTTCCCCCACATCTAGCATTTTAAGGCTCGTGCAAGTCTTCAAAGAGGAAGGCAACTCCCCAGTTAACTTATTGCTTCTCATGATCAATGCTTGAAGTGCAAGAAGAGATCCAATGGAAGGAGGAATTTTTCCTGATAAGTTATTGTTACTCAAGTCCAGATAGATTAATGATGTGAAACCATCCCAACAATCAGGAAGTTTACCTGATAATTGATTACTTGAAATATCTAACGAGGCCAACACATCGGCTGAGCTGTTATCACATAAAAAGGTGGCAGATTCCGAAAACTTGTTTGTCGACAGGTCAATAACTGAAGCACCACGTAGAAAGGATGGAATTAAGCCTTCAAATTGATTGGAAGCTAGAGATATATCAGGGGATCCAAAAATCTTACCGGGGAGTTTGGAATTGTACCCCACAAGTTGTTGTATGAAACATTGAGCCACAATAAATTTGGTGTTAATAAACCCCAAAACCAATGTGGAACGATATCAGAAATTCCGGCATCAGAAATATCAAGTATTGAGAAGTTACTTTGAGTGTGCAACCAATTAGGGAAATCAGGACCTAACTTGCAAGATCTAAGAAATATTTGATCCAATTGAAAAGATGGGATCCAATTCTTGCCAAACTTCAAAGCCAATGAGTTCTCAGAAAGGTCAAGTGTCTTCAAGTTAGACGCATTTGCAAAATGTGACTCAGTGATGACACCTTTCAAAGAGTTGGAATGAATGGACAAAGTCACTAACTGAGATGAGAATCGAATGTCTTCAGGGATTGACTCATTCAAACGATTTTTTGTGAGCATTAAAGTCTTTAAAGACGTAAATATGGAAAGATCAGGTAGCGTTCCCGTTATTTGGTTCCAACTTAGATCCAAGTTTTGCAAAGACTGTCTGGCACACCCCGACAAATTTTCAATAATCGTAGGAAGTTCTTCATTCAAAAGGTTATATGTCAAGGTCAATGACTGTAAGGTACATATATTCCTAAACGATTTAGGTATTCCACCATGAAGTGTATTTTCAGAGAGGTCTAGATACTCTAGAGAAGTCATTTTACCTAATTCATTTGGGATAAGACCTTTTAAGTGGTTTTTGCTGAGATCAAGCTCGACCAGGTTTGAGCTCACATTGGACAGCCACTGGAATATAATGGATGACGTGAATCTATTGTCAGAGAGATCAAAAATAGCAAGAGAATCTGAAAATTTCCATTTTGAAGGTGTCAAGGGAATGATGCTATCATCAGAAAGACTACAGCTTGTAAGGCTCACTTGTCTTAAATTTGGAAGCTTTCCAATCATTTGTAACCAGTTATGAGAATGATTCAGATTATTCACCATGCTCAAGTCTAGTTGAGTTAAAGAAGTGAGACTAGATAGCCACTGACCTCCACCTTGATCCTCCTCTTTAGTAAGTTTGAGAGCAGCATTGAATCCAAGATCAAGCTTCTGCAACTTTGAAAGATTCCCAAGCTGATAAGGTATCGTACCTTCAAGAGTATTCTCTCCCAGATCAAGATACAGCAACTGCGAGAGATATCCAAGCTGATATGGAATCTCACCTACTAAACCGATCTTTCCAAGATCAAGATAACGTAAGTTGGAGAGATTTCCAAGTTGGCTTGGAATTTGTCCACCAAAATAACAACTTCTGAGATCAAGGAATCTCAAGTTCCTGAGAGAGCCAAAGAATTCTGGGACATGGTTGTCTCCGAAATCGTTGTAACTAAGGTTCAAATATTTCAGGTACTGCAACTCCAGCAGTGACGCACTGATATTGCCCTGTAAAACGAATTGCTGTTCTCCTGAATCATCGAATTCTCCGTGAAGGTCGAGGATTTCTACGTGTCCGGTTCGGTTGCTACAGTGAACTCCATCCCATTGGCAACAATCTCTGTTTTCCTCTTCGCTTCCCCAAGAAGACAAACGGCCATTGTTGTCCACGAGGCCATCTTTGAAGTGAAGCAACGCTTGCCTCTCCTTTTCTGGACACCTAACTGCAGCACCCGTAGCTCTCCAAGTACCATTGAGAGCAAGAAGATGAAGCTCGAAAACTAGTATGACTTGAAGGAGTTTGAGAGAAACTGGGTTCAGGATCTTCATTCTTTGGAAAGTGATTAGAACAATGTCTGGTTTTGATAATACTGAAGTTAAATAGCTGTGCCTATAAATGGTATGGTCTTGCCTTCACGAAACTAATGAAGATGTTCACATGAACCAAGTTGGCAAGTTGTAAAGGCATTACTATTTTGTTCGAGACCCGCCACTCAATTGCAGAATCGGAAGATTCGTCGTTGTCAATTTATAAAATTAATAATAATTACTGTTAGAGTGGCTCTTGGCTCTAGCTAGCTCTTGTCCTGTTTAAGTGGTGTCGCTTTTGTTCAACAATCAAGATCTATGTAATATTGTCATTATTAATTAATTAATTAAAACGTGAACTCAATTAATCGACATTTACTCTAATAGTAGTCAAGGACGAACCATCTAATTAATCAACTTGGACGAGGATTCGTGCATAATATCAGTCAAATAGTGGCTACTCGTTGAGGAGGAAATTGAGAAGCAACTTTGCTTTTTTCCGAGGCCTCCAAGTTGAGTTCATCAGTCAAAATCGATAGCTGCCCTTGTCCGCTTAAAACTCTCGTCCTCTTAAAACTATTACCCTCGTGGGAAAAAATATTAGCAAGCAAGAAAAACTGACGGAGAAAATTAAAAAAAAAATACTATTTTTTAAAAATTCTTCTCCTATTTTTTTTTTATTCTCTCATTTTCCTCTTACTTTTCCCCCTATCCTGACTTAACATGGAACTACTTCTCATGTTATTATTAACTCACACATCTGGCTGCTAACAAGAGCCATTAAAAAGTTGAATATAAAATTTGGATTCGACATGATGCTTTGGTTACATTTACCAAATTACTAGTCACAAGATTCCAACAAAAATAAATAAAAAGAATTTGCTTTTGAATTGAAACATTTAATTTTATATAAAACTTTTGGTTTAAATATATTCAAAACACGAAAACAGATGAATTGATTTCAAAATATAAAATACATATAAAACTAATCACCGAAAATCTTTTCCGCCACGCGTACCCACCCACCCATATATAAATCTTTTCCATTTTCAAAGGAAGTGGCCCCCTTAAGGAATTTGTCCGCGCAAGTGGGCGAAGTTTACCCACACACGCGTATCTATGTATGTAAGTGTGTGTGTATGTGTGTACGTATGTGGTTTTAGAAAAAGCATGCTAGCCACTCTTAAATATGTGTTCAAATAAGTTAATAGATGTGTGGATTGACTTTTTCTGGAATCAGTAATTCGGAATAAGTCTGAATAGTCAGCTCAAATTTATTTAAAAAATTTAAAATCAAGCTTAAAAAATATTAATTTTTTAATGTTCAGACCTATTTAAGCCAACTCAAATAGGCTCAAAAAAATTCGTGTCAAACTTGATCGGATTTGGATTTAGCCCAAATACCTAAATAAAAAATAATTTTTAAAAATATATATAATATAATAAATATTAATTAATTTTTTAAATTTTATATCATTTTATACTAATATACTATATATTTAAGTGTATTATTATAGCTACTTTTTAAAAAAATAAAAAAATTTACATTTTAATATTTTTATTATTTTTTATCAATACAATATTTTAAAATAATATTTAAAATATATTTTAATATTTATTTTTATACTTTAAGACTCAAATTTTTTTTTAAAATTAAAAATTTTTGAGTTCTATACATCATTTATGTATCCAAAAAAACATATTTTATTAAAAACAAAAAGTATAGTTTACCCTAAAGTTATTAAAAACTTTAAATTAATCAGGACAATAATTTTAAGTTAGTAGTTTAATTATAATTGAATTGAGATCAACTTAATTATAATTAAAATAATATAATTTAATTAAAATATATAAAAATTTTATATATGACTATGATAAGAGTAATATTTAAATAACTAAGATATTAATTTATAAGTAAAGGAAATATTTATGAATAAATTACATATAATACAACAAAATAGCAACAGAGTTACTTAAGTACAAAGTTGATAAATTATTATTTTTTATTTTATTCTTTTAAAGTTAAAATAATACTTTGTACTTAACAAAATTATTTAAAAATTAAAATTTGATTTAAAAAATAAAAAATATTTTAAAAATTTTTTGGATATTCAGGCCGATTCGAATAAGCTCAAAGCTTTAAAGTATTAGGATCAAGCTTGGTTATGTGGGCTTTTTAGAATGGGTAAGATACTTCAAACCCAATCCAAATAAGCCAATCTAAATTAAGCCTGACTTAAATAAGCACAATCTACCTGAATTATCAACTCTAGCTTTCCTGTTAAGATTTTAATTATAATTTTTTACAAGCCACCCTCTAGGTGCAAAAATTGTATGATTTCTAATATGACCTTAATATTTTTCCTTGCATGATTATTCATGACTTTCTATTAGAAAAGAATAGTAGATAAATTATAGACTTATAATAAATTAAAGATATTTTTCAGAAGGAAAATTAAACTATTAATAATCAATAACTCTATAAATAACATGGTTTCTAATAGCAGAAACATACATATTGATAAATTGAATTGTTTAAATAATTTTATTTTAATTTTTTTAGCACTTGAAGATCCAATAGGAAAAGTAAGAAGATAAATTTCACTTATATATAGTTGTTATAAAAGTAATAATAAGCCAACAAGAGTTGAGTTTAATAAAATGAGATAGTTTTTCATAATATGATAAATTAATGTTTAAATTTCTAATGACAGAGCTGTTTAGATTTAATGATTGTTTCTTGAATGAAATTGCTTTCAATAAAAAGACATATATACATAGTAATAAAAAAAGTAATCGCAAAATTTAGAAGATAGTTGTAATATTATATTAGAAGCCAGTAGCAAGATCATTGAATGAAGGGGTAGTTTGTGGTGTTGGATGGCTTTGTACATACTAACTTAGATTCCAATATTGCAAGTTGCCAAACAGTGGTAAGGCTCAGACTCACTCTATCTAATTTGATCGCATCAAAGGTCATGTGATTCCAAACCAATCATTTATTGTCTTTGTACAATAACGGACACAGAAATTACTTGACTTAATTTTAAAACCGTGCCAACTTATTATTGATGATGATTTGACTAGCTATGTACGCAATTAATTAACATTGGTACTCAAAAGCTTAAACACTTCGTGTATTATCTTTCAATTTTAATCTGTACACTTGCAATATCATGTATAGTTAAAATGTAGATGAGACAATTGAAAGATGCGAACTCTGTAGAAAGGCCTACAGGAAAAGGTTCAACATGCTAAAATGTCATAGCAGCATCGTGGAATTTAAGAGCCACGGCTACAATATTTCACATGATTAATTATTAAAGGAACTTATAACATTGAACCACATTTTCAACCGAATTGGATTTTAGACCTCATTAAATGTTTTTCAAAATAACACACACGCATATATGTATATATGTATGTATGTTAAAAATAAGTTGATTTAAAATAGCTATTGTAAAACTCCCACTTAAACACATAATTAGCACACATTTAACCTTAATGTAGAACTATCATAGTAATTATAACTAATTTAATCAATTATATTATTGTATAAAAAGGATCAATTGTTTGAAAACTCATAAGGTTAAGTAAAAAAATCTTGTAAAGATAAAATTCTATAAATTATTTAATCTCAAAACCAAGTTTAGAAGATCATTTCACCCTTATAAATTAAAGCAAAAAGTATTTAGGAGGCATAGAAAACATTTAAGGTTGAAAACAAGTTAAAACAAAGTCAAAAGAGTCATTTTTTCTTAACAGAGGCATTTAGTTGCGATTAGAGCACATTAAGCCATAGTTGACACTTCTAAAGAAAATTTGGCAGCAGCTAATACTCTTTTGGCTATGGCCAAATGGTCTCAAGAACTCATGTGGTTGCAACCAAAAGTTTATAAGCTGTGGCCAAAGCTGTGACAGCATTTGTCGTGATAGCTGCCATCCACAAACTTTTGACACACATAACTTTTGGCTCAGATCTCCGATTGAAGTAATTCAAATACCCATACGTTAATAATTTCATCTAGCCAATGTTTTGGTCTTATGTCAATTCAACATCAAATGAAGAATCTAGACACCCAAGACTACAATTTCTCATTTTGCCTTTAAAACTATCAATTAAATGTCCAAATCTCACACTATAAGCCATTAGCCCACACAAGGGCTTGAACTACACTCAATAAGTACTAATACACTTGTCTAAATAATCATAAGCATTAAACAACTCTTAATACAATAATTGACCACCTAACTACCATAATACACATAATAAGGGGATGAAAATGTAATTCTTTGCATTCGAGTTAAATAATCACCTAAAACATGTAAACTCATCTAACTTATCAAGATATACTTGTTCAAACTATTTTAGCACATTACCATAGTCAAATTAAGGTTTTGGACCCTACTATGGCCAAGACAATCCAAAAATACCTAAAATTAATGTTTAAGGCTACAATTGCAAGTGGATTCCAAATAAACATAAGTCAATATGAAAGATCTCTAGTTGGAAAATGTTATATTTAAATTATACATAAAAAATAAAACTAGAGATATTACTATTCACTACTTAATCTCTAGCTTCAGAGGCCTTCCCTTTGATTTTAGTTTGATGCTCACCGGTCAACATTAACTACGGGAGTGAGATAAGCATCTTAGTAACCAAATAATTTAATCAAGCACATTAAAATGTGGTATTCACAACAATTAAGCTTTTAATATCACATAAGGCAAACCAACATTATTCACAATGCATCATTATAATGTATTTCATATAATCAAATGCAATCACCTTATACCACTTTTTATATCATTTAACCAAATCTGTAATATCTCCCTCATCTAATCACATTTAAAACCATAATCCAAAGCAATCAAGGGATTAACCCATAAAGAGATTACCACTCTTTAACTTGAAATAATGAAATTCCAAGTTTTCATAATTTAAAATAAGTTAGAACCATTCATTAAGCCTTAAATTAGAGTATAATAACATTTTGGAAGCATGAGATACCTCAAAAGAGTGAAATAAGTCAAAACAGTTGAAAAACATCATAATTAAAAAAA